AATCATGAACGCAGGCGTACTTTAACAAGACAACCTCGCTTCATTTATAAAACAGACAACCTCTCATCTCCGCGAGCATGCGTTTGCCAACAAGCTTCTTTTCGCGTCGATGGCAAAAGCTAAAAATCATAAATTGAAACAAATTTCTGATATTCCCTCTGAAAGGGAAAACTTGCAACCACGCAAGCCACAAAACACAGAAAAAATGACAAAACTGGCAACAAAGCTTTTGTCGATTTAAAATATTTTACAATTTTAAAATATTTTCCGTGTCTCACAAAATCTGCTCAATATGTATGCATGCTCATATATAAACATACATATTTACGATCATTAGTGGGCAAAGCTGTTAGAGCGGCAAGGGAGCGGTGACAATCGGCGGCCGTTCGTTAATATTTTTCGGCACAGCTCGGATTTTCTACCAACAACACAATTTTGTGACGCTTTGTCGTCGCGTCAGTCCTTCGACACAGTGACTCTTTGACAAGAAAACAAAAACGTGAGCTTCGGCCATTGGTTGTCCAGGGCAACGGAGATTTCGCATGAAACAATGAGTGTACATACTTACACACATATGTTGCATGTAGACAAATTAATAATTATAAAGGGTACTTCCATATTTGTTTACATGCACACATAATTATACATATATAATGTATAAGAATATTGCGACGGCTTGGTATTTTCTATGGGTTATGTCAAGCAAGAGGTGTACAAAATCAAACCCAGAAATCTGACTGAACTGAAGCGGTCCATTAAATAGATAATTGAGGCAATCCCGAATTAGGTGTCGCATATGCGTGGTTGAGTATGGAAAATAATTAATTGTTTAAATAAAATAAAATTTTCTATACAATAAAAAAATGAATGTAATGCATTGACTAAAACAAATTTATTGCGATTTAATTTTGTAGCACGATTCGCTAGCCCACCTGTATAGGCAGAATATCTTCAAATTATATGAAAAGTCGTTCGCATTGTAAAATATACAATCTGTAAGCTACATTTATACTTGAAATTAGCATATTTTTTCTCAATTAACATTGAAAATGCTCAATTCTGCTATTTTCAGCGTACATTTCTTAACATTGAAATTAGCATTATTTTTCTTAATTAACATTGAAAATGCTCAATTCTGCTATTTTCAGTCCCTGATGTTAATTGTGGACATTTGGTGAACACGCTCATCGTTTTCAGTACCCCTTCCAAATGTGGTGAAACACGCTCATCTTTTCAGTTCCCCGCGAAACATGAAATATTTTGCTAATGGCCGCACTGTGAACCTTCTCTATGATATACGTTCTCTGTTCTTGTATTTGTTTGCAAATTCAAGACAAAGTTGCGTATTTTTCTCAGATATAAGAGGTTTTTGGAACTCTGCTTTGATAGCTATTTTCCGTAAGTCTCTTGCTACAGTTTTACCAGAAGCTGCAGCGATGCTATCGGTTATCTCTTGGGGCACTTATATTGGGATTTTGTCACTTTTGATGATTAAACTAACATCTCGCCGAGTATGCTTCCTAGGCGCCCAGGCCTGGGCCTATTTTTCACGGATTTGTGCGTTTTAAATTTCGAATAATATTTTGCACACTTGCACAAGATAGATTAAGGATTATCCCTATATCTCGGCAAGATTTTCCATCTTGAAAAGTTTAATTATTAAATTTTTAGCGCCACTTATATTTGTTTTCCGTTACCCATTTATTTGTATTTTACGTCCACTCTAGAGAAGAAATCGCTTCTAATACCAAATAAAATATATACATAAGTATGTTGCTAAATCATCAAATAAACGGCCCTTTTCGAAAGATTTGTAAAACATATTCTTCAGTGATTGTATGTAAACTTTGTCCCGTGTAAGTTTATGTGTCTGATGAATTAACCGTTATCTAAGCTACATTGAATGTTTTTTGGTTTCAATGTTAGTAAACAATTTACTGAAAATAAAATTCATGCTTACATTTGCGTTAAAATACTTTTTGCACAAAAAGTTAAATTTTGTTGGTGTATTTAAAGTTTGTCTTTGACGTATGTAAGTGGTGACGTTTGACTTAGTTGTTATCGATTTTTCCATATTATAATTCACTAAAAATCGCACATATAATAGGTGAGAAATCAACACAATGTTATTCAATTCATTCTTTTTAATTTCTAACCCCGAGACGGCCGACGGACGCTTAACGAGACGAATGGTCAACTAACGGTTAGACCTAATAAATGCTATTATCATCTATGTATATTTAATTTCGCATTTACTTCATTGTATACAATATTCATAATGTATGTACATATGTATATATAACCACTATAAAATCCTCACTTAGGTATTTCAAACAGCAGTGCTGTAAAGTCTGGCTATTTCATGTATGATTTAGTTACATTTTTTATACTCAGTTGTTCTCCGTATACTTTTCTCTTGAGGATAAATAAACTGTAATACTAATTGTAGTATGAGATAGTTAAAATATTCTAAACAAATAAAAGTATTGTCTAAGACTTTAAAATTATATTTGGTACTAAGATTTGTAAATTTGTATCCAATCACATTATCAAATGTAATTTCCTGAAAATGGACAGAAATTGCGAATTCATATGGACTTGTCGTTCTATTTATGGTATGTTGTTGCATGTAACGCTATGTATTGATAGTTTAATGTCTTAAAACACACGAACTTATGTATACATACCCATAGCCAATAAGTCTGCGTTCACCCGACACTATTTTTAAGTGAAGTAAAACACAATGTATTTCTTCTTTATATCTTTAAGTTTAAATGCAAAAACAAAATGTATATTCTTATTTTCATTTTAGTGGTAACGACAGAGAACGTATATCATAGAGAAGGTTCACATGCGGCCATTAGCAAAATATTTCATGCTTCGCAGGGGAACTGAAAAGATGAGCGTGTTTCACCACATTTGGAAGGGGTACTGAAAACGATGGGCGTGTTTCACCAAATGTCCACAATTAACATCAGGGACTGAAAATAGCAGAATTGAGCATTTTCAATGTTAATTGAGAAAATAATGCTAATTCAATGTTAAGAAATGTACGCTGAAAATAGCAGAATGAGCATTTTCAATGTTAATTGGAAAATAATGCTAATTTCAATGTTAAGAAATGTACGCTTACAATTCGTATATTACAATGCGCAAACGACTTTCATATAATTTGAAGATATTCTGCCTATACAGGTGGTAGCGAATCGTGCTACAAAATTAAACCGCAATAAATTCTTTTAGTCAATGCATACATTCAATTTTGTTATTGTATAGAAAATTTTATTTTATTTAAACAATTAATTATTTTTCCATACTCAACCACGCATATGCGACACCTAATTCGGGATTGCCTCATTATCTATTTAATGGACCGCTTCAGTTCAGTCAGATTTCTGGGTTTGATTTTGTACACTCTTGCTTGACATAACCCATAAGAAAATACCAAGCCTCGCAAATATTCTTATACATATATATGTATAATTATGTGTGATGTAAACAAATATGGAAGTACCCTTTATAATTATTAATTTGTCTACATGCAACATATGTGTAAGTATGTACACTCATTGTTTCATGCGAAATCTCCGTTGCCCTGGACAACCAATGGCCGAAGCTCACGTTTTTGTTTTCTTGTCAAAGAGTCACTGTGTCGAAGGACTGACGCGACGACAAAGCGTCACAACAATTGTGTTGGTGGTAGAAAATCCGAGCTGTGCCGAAAAATATTAACGAACGGCCGCCGATTGTCACCGCTTCCTTGCCGCTCTAACAGCTTTGCCCACTAATGATCGTAAATATGTATGTTTATATATGAGCATGCATACATATTGACGCAGATTTTGTGAGACACGGAAATATATTTTAAAATTGTAAAATATTTTAAATCGACAAAAGCTTTGTTGCCAGTTTTGTCAATTTTTCTGTGTTTTGTGGCTAGTTTTTGGTTGCAAGTTTTCCCTTTCAGAGGGATATCAGAAATTTGTTCAATTTATGATTTTAGCTTTTGCCATCGTGCGAAAAGAAGCTTGTTGGCAAACGCATGCTCGCGGAGATGAGAGGTTGTCTGTTTTTATGAATGAAGCGAGGTTGCGTTTAAAAGTACTCCTGCGTTCATGAATGAAAATGTTGTTGTTGTGTGATTTACTATAAATTGGGCTTCGCATATTTGGCTGACATATTGACTTGTACGATTGTTGTTTTGTAGAACAAGTTTGTAGTTTTTGCGAGTGACATATTTACGAATATATGAATGTATGTTTGTGTATCCATTATTTGTGTAGCAATGTCATAAGCACATATGTATGTATGTACATATAGAGCAGTGCGCGCAAATGTTATTACTGATAAATGATAATAACTTGATTTGAATTTGAATTGTACTTACATAAGTACATACATATGTATGTATGTAAGCTTTAAATCATGAAAGGTGTGATTGGCTATATTTACTATTTAAATATATTAAGATTTTAAGATATTATGTTAGTGTGTTATATACTTATGTATGTATGTATATAGTAAAACATAGCAGTATATACATATGCATACATATGTACTTATATGAAAGCATTTCATATATCAAACATAAGCAATATTTAAAAGCAACTGCAAATATTCCTTTGAAGTAATATATTTTAACTAAAATGTAATACATTGTTTCATGATATCATAGATATTCAGAAAAGGAATTTCATATCTATGAATATGATTGCATATAAACGTATAAAAATATAAGCTAACATGCGGCTGTAATATCAATGCAAACTTCTGAGCATAATTTTCATACAATGCTCAGCTCTGTTCACTCGCCACTGTTAAAATTTCTCCTTCCGAGCCGACTGTGGTGAAACACGCTCATCGCATTTTGTTAGGTTTTGACAATTCACACGCTGGTCCGTAGTTGGACCTTCTCTGTATTTTACGTTCTCTGGTAACGAGATTTTAGTGTAAGGAGAAGTAAAGATAGGCACCATTAAGTCTGCGTTTAGCTTTAAAATTAGGTACAAAAGTATTAAAAATGATAAAGAAAAATTAAATTCAATATTTTGTTGAATAGCCGCGTTTTTTTAAAACCTCGCTCAATCGATTTGACATTGATCTTACCAACTTATCTGTTTCCTCAGCTGTAATCTGGGACCATTCTTCTTTCATAACACTTCGCAAAGCCTCTTTACTTGTTATTGTATGCTGACGAATTCTTTTTTCCAACAGATCCCATAGATGCTCAATAGGGTTGAGGTCAGGTGATTGAGGAGGCGTTTTAAGTTGTCTAGGAGCAAAAAATGCTAAATTTACTTTTATCCGAAAATATTACTTGTCTCCAGAATTCCGGCGACTTATTTATATAACTATGAACAAATTCAATGCGCTTTCGCCTGTTTACAAGTGAAATATATGGTTTCTTTTGAGCGACTCTACAATGATATCCAGCTTTTCGAAAAATTTGTCTATCAGTTTCGGCACAAATTGTATTTTTAATGGTTATATTTACGTTTTCAATAATCTTTGTGGACGTAATTCGAGGGTTAACTTTCACCATATTTATTATTTTCCGTTCTTCCCGGGCTGATAATATTTTCGGACGGCCAGATCGCGGTTTTAATGTTAAAATTCCTTTTTTTTTTTAATTGTTTACGACGCGCTGGACAGAAGAATACGTTCTTCCAATAGTTTGCACAATTTTTCTGAAACTCTCGCCATCTTTTCGCAACTTAATGATAATTTTTCTTTCCGTAAGGCTAATTTCTTTTCTTTTGGTTTCCATTTTTTTAAAATATTATTAAAACGCGTCACGAGCTCTTTAAACGACTAATTATAATAAAACACAATAGAATCTACGCAAAAAGAACGAACAAATTCATGAGAAGTAACGGCATTTCCAATTCAAGCTAACTGAACGCAGACTTAATGGTGCCAATGTTTACTTGTTCTTACACTAAAATTCCGTTATCACAAAAATGAAAATGGAAATATACATTTTTGTTTTTGCATTTTGAACTTAAGAATATAAAAAAGAACTTCACTTAAAAAAATGTGTCGGGTGACCGTAGACTTTATTGGCTATGTGTATGTAAAAAGTCGTCCAATCTAAAAAATTTCTTCAGATATTGAAGCGTTGCCTTGGACAATAATTCATGCAAAATTGCATGAAGATATCCCGCCAAAAAAAGTTTTTCTTACGAAGGTTTGATTTTTATTCGTCAGTTCATTGGCAGCTATATGCTGTAAAATATTGGTCCGAGATCGGCGGTTTCAACAAATGAGTTTCTTTGGGAAAAATACACGTAAGCAAAGTTTCGAATAGATATCTGAAAAACTAAGGGACTAGTTCGCGCATAACATACAAACAGACACACGGACAGACCGACATAGCTAAATCGACTCAGCTCGTCACCCTGATCCCTGATATATGGTATATATTTTATAGAGTTTCCGACGTGTTACAATATAAAATATAACATAATAATATAAGTATAAGTATAAAAATAAACAGAAGTTAAAAACAATATAATCAAATTCTTGACAAACTGTATATAATATATCATATTACGTAAAGCAGGCAATGTTTCGAAGCAATTATGGTTATTTTTGAGGCAGGACTGTCATCATACGTACTTTTTACCGCTTATGAATATCATTACAAAACGGAGCAATGGGTTCTGGCAATCTTTAACCCTTAATAACCTAAAGTTTCAATTTTGATGCCAATCTTTTAAACCGAATGTTCACATTACTATTAGTTTTTTTTTATATATGTATATAATATATCATACTACGTAAAGCAGGCAATGTTTCGAAGCAATTATGGTTATTTTTGAGGCAGGACTGTCATCATACGTACTTTTTACCGCTTATGAATATCATTAAAAAACGGAGCAATGGGTTCTGGCAATCTTTAACCCTTAATAACCTAGAGTTTCAATTTTGGTACCAATTTTTTTAAACCGAATGTTCACATTACTATTAGTTTTTTTTTATAGGTTGGCTGTATAATATTCTTTCCAACGAAACTAAAAAAAATCTAATGTCATTATTGTTTTATTTTATCTATGACATATTTGTAAGTATCAATTTTGATACTTCAGGCATTCTGCCCTACATAAAACCTACCTTCTAATTCTTTAGC